TAATCAAATTATCTTTCCCAGCTTATAACTTGAGGACTGCAACCTATTAAATGTATACCCTGAAGCACAAAATTAGGTTGGAATAGTAATTGCAGCTTTTTGCCTCTGCCTACAAAATCCCTATGAAGGAAAAGGAATTACTCTTTTGCAGCCTGATCTTAGTTTTCTGAAGATGTATATATATACTTGTGTCTTCCCTCCCAAAATTGTTTTGGCAATCTTGTACAGCATTCATACTTTTAAGTATACTATTTTAGTAGTTTAAGGATTCTCTTTTGGACAGAGTCACTAAAACATCGTCTCGTAACATAAGTATTCAGATAGGATAGATGAGCTAGTAGAATATAGGCTATGAGGACAAGAACTTTGATGTGGTCAACCACTGGATGCCCAAGCCATAGAGCAGTGCATTCAGCATTTGTTAATGAATGTTTTGCTCACAAAAAATATTTTTTTTGTTTGTGTTTTTAGAGATGGGGTCTCACTCTGCCCCGCTAGAATGCAACAGTACAATCAACAGTACAACAGTACAACTGTAGCCTCTGACTCCAGGGCTCAAGCAGTCCTCCCTCCTCAGTGTAGCTGGGATTACAGGCATGTACCACCAAGCCCAGCAAATATTTTTCTATTTTTCTTTCTTTTTCTTTTTCTTTTTGTTTTGTTTTGTTTTTTTTTTTGAGACAGAGTTTTGCTCTTGTTGCCCAGGCTGGAGTGCAATGGCATGATCTTGGCTCACTGCAACCTCCGCCTCCCATGTTCAAGCAATTCTCCTGCCTCAGCCTCCTGAATAGCCGGGATTACAGGCATGCACCACCACGCCCAGCTAATTTTGTATTTTTAGTAGAGAGGGGGTTTCTCCATGTTGAGGCTAGTCTTGAACTCCTGACCTCAGGTGATCCCCTGCCTCAGCCTCCCAAAGTGCTGGGATAACAGGCATAAACCACGGTTCACGCCATTCTCCTGCCTCAGCCTCCCGAGTAGCTGGGACTACCGGCACCTGCCACCACACCTGGCTAATTTTTTTGTATTTTTTAGTAGAGACGGGGTTTCACCGTGTTAGTCAGGATGGTCTCGGTCTCCTTACCGCGTGATTCACCCACCTTGGCCTCCCAAAGTGCTGGAATTACAGGCGTGAGCCACCGTGCCCTGCCTATTATTTTTGTAGAGATGAGGTCTCACTGTGTTGCCCAGGCTGGTCTCGAACTCTTGGCCTAGAGTGATTCTCCCTCCTCAGCCTCCCAAAGTGCTGAGATTACAGGCAGGCATAAGTGACTGTGCCTCACTGAAAAATATGTTTACATAGAAATTTCATTAATTTGTTTTAATCAGGTCTCTTTATCAGCCAGGCGCGATGGCTCGCACCTGTAATCCCAGCACTTTGGGAGGCCGAGATGGTCGGATCACAAGATCGAGATCGAGATCATCCTGGCTAACACGGTGAAACCCCGTCTCTACTGAAAATACAAAAAATTAGCTGGGCATTGTGGTGGGTACCTGTAGTCCCAGCTACTCGGGAGGCTGAGGCAGGAGAATGGCGTGAACCCGGGAGGCAGAGCTTGCAGTGAGCCGAGATTGCACCACTGCGCTCCAGCCTGGGCCACAGAGCGAGACTCCATCTGAAAAAAAAAAAAAATCAGGTCTCTCTATCAAGAAAAAAATGTGTATTTCTGAGAATGTCACAAGGCCTCCTTAAGCTAATAAAAAATAGCCCTCTTTCATTCACAACAGAAGAACCCTTACTGATTAATTTTTGCCATGCCCTGTTGAAGAATATTAACCCACATTCATGTTACTGTAGCTCTGAGGTTTCCAGAACATGGTCCCCAGCATTACCATTACTTGAGATTAGAAATGCAAATTGTCTGATGGGACTTCAGATCTACTGAATCAGAAACAATCAGATACTCGGGCTAGCAACCTGTTTTAACAAGCTCTCCAGGGCCAGGCACCATGGCTCACGCCTGTAATCCCAACACTTTGGGAGGCCGAGCGGGTGAATCACCTGAGGCCAGGAGTTTGAGACCACCCTAGCCAACATGGTAAAACCCCGTTTCTACTAAAAATACAAAAACTAGCTGGGCACGTTGGCAGGTGCCTGTAATCCCAGTTACTCGGGAGGCTGAGGCAGAAGAATCGCTTGAACCCGAGAGGCGGAGGTTGCAGTGAGCCAAGATCATGCCACTGTACTCCAGACTGGGTGACAGAGCGAAGCTCCATCTCAAAAAACAATAAAAAAAACAAAAAACAAAAAAACACAAGCTCTCCAGGTAATCTTATGCTTGCTAAAGTTTGAAAACCATAACCACAATTGCTAGCCTTGCTTGAAAATCTTTGAAGTACTGTGAAAGAATGAGGCAGGAGAATCGCTCATTTGAGATAAGCTTAGATTTTCAAATGTACATGTTAAGAATAACCTGAGGTATTTGTTAAATATACAAATTACCAGGCTCTTCTCTGATAATTCTAATTCATTGAGTCTAGGTTAGGCCCAGGATTTTTTTTCCTTTTCTCTGTTTTTTTTTTTTTTTTTTTTTTTTTTTTTTTTGAGACGGAGTTTCACTCGTCACCCAGGCTGCCAGGCTGGAGTGCAGTGGCGTGATACCGGCTCACTGCAACCTCCTCCTCTCGGGTTCAAGCGATTCTCCTGCCTCAGCCTCCCGAGTACCTGGGATTACAGGCACGCACCACCATGCCCATCTAAATTTTGTATTTTTAGTAGAGATTGGGTTTCACCATGTTGGCCAGGATAGTCTCGGACCCCTGACCTCAAGTGATCCGCTTGCCTTGGCCTCCCAAGGTGCTAGGATTACAGGCGTGACTCACCGTGCCCAGCCCAGGAATTTGTTTCCTAACGGGTGTTCCAGGTTATTCTTATCTTTAAGGAAGTTCAAGAAACACTATGAAAGAGGATGCTATTTCCAGCCAACTTTTCCCAAGCTGTGGGAATTCCATGTCCTGCTTCTGGAGCCTAAGCACAGAGGTTCCTGTAGTTTTTTTTGTGAGCACTGCTGAGAGAAAAGCTAGGACAACTCTTTTTTCTGGTAAACCTTCTCTGTTTTTATAGCAAATAGATAATCTCCCTTTCTTTTTTAATTTTTAATTTTTTAAAATTTTATAAATAGAGACAGGGTTTTGCCATGTTGCCCAGGCTGGTTTCAAACTCCTGAGCTCAAGCAATCCTCCCTCCTCAGCCTCCCAAAGTGCTGGGATTACAAGCATGAGCCACTGCGCCCAGCCTCTTCTCCCTTTCTGATAGTAGATTATATCAGTGTATTTTTTTGTTTGTTTTTGAGACAGTCTTGCTCTGTCACCCAGGGTGGAGTGCAGTGGTGCAATCTCGGCTCACTGCAACCTCTGCCTCCTGGGTTCAAGAGATTCTCCTGCCTCAGCCTCGTGAGGAGCTGAGAAGCAGGGATTACAGGCACCTGCCACCACACCCGGCTGCAGTTTGTATTTTTAGTAGAGGCGGTGTTTCACCATGTAGGCCAGGCTGGTCTCAAACTCCTGATCTCACGTGATCTGCGCACCTTGGCCTCGCAAATTGCTGGGATTACAGGTGTGAGCCACCGTGCCCAGCCATATCAGTGTTTCTTGAGGCACAACTAGAAGACTTGTGAGGTAAAGTACTTACGCCTGTTATAGCTTGTTTTTTTTGTTTGTTTGTTTAACCATACATTCACAGTCTAAATAGAGAAAACATATATCTCTTCATTCTTCTTTTATTTGGTCAGGATCGTAAGGTGTAATTCTATCCTTATGCCATCTGTTTAATCTTCATGATAGAATCATGAACCTAGAACATAATTATAGCACACTGGGTTATATGTAAACATTCTCTTTTGAACTTTTTTTTTTTTTTTTTTTTTTTTGAGATGGAGTCTTGCTCTGTCACCCAGGCTGGGGTGCAGTGGCCGGATCTCAGCTCACTGCAAGCTCCGCCTCCCAGGTTTACGCCATTCTCCTACCTCAGCCTCCTGAGTAGCTGGAACTATAGGTGCCCGCCAACCCGCCCGGCTAGTTTTTTTGCATTTTTTAGTAGAGACGGGGTTTCACCGTGTTAGCGAGGATGGTCTCGATCTCCTGACCTTGTGATCCGCCCGTCTCGGCCTCCCAAAGTGCTGGGATTATAGGCTTGAGCCACCGCGCCCGGCCTTTTTTTTTTTTTTTTTTTTGAGATGGAGTCTTACTCTGTCACCCAGTCTGGAGTGCAATGTTGCGATCTCCACTCACAGCAACCTCCGTCTCCCAGGTTCAAGTGATTCTCCTGCCTCAGCCTCCCAAGTAGCTGGGATTGTAATAGGTGACTGCCACCACGCCTGGCTAATTTTTGTATTTTCAGTAGAGACAGGGATTTGCCATGTTGGCCAGACTGGTCTCCAACTCCTGATATCAGGTGATCCACCCGCCTCGGCATCCCAAAGTGCTAGGATTACAGGCATGAGCCACCGCTCCTGGCCCTCAAAGAATAGATTTGATTTAGGCTGGGTGTGGTGGCTCATGCCTGTAGTCCCAGTATTTTGGGAGGTTGAGGTGGGCAGACTATGAGGTCAGGAGTTCAAGACCAGCCTGATCAGTATGGTGAAACCCTGTCTCTACTGAAAATAAATTAGCCATGCATGGTAGTGCACGCCTGTAATCCCAGCTACTCGGGAGGCTGAGGCAACAGAATCGCATGAACCTGGGAGGCGGAGGTTGCAGTGAGATCACGCCACTGTACTCCAGCCTGGGTGACAGAGCAAGACTCCGTCTCAAAAAAAAAAAAAGAATAGATTTGATTTGTCCTGAAGACTTGCCAGGTAGAGCTCATAGTAGTTGGGTGCTATCATCTCTCTGCTTGTAGTTTGCCTGAATTTCTTAATAGAAAGGGAATTACATTCTTTGGCCCTGAAACTACTCTCAGTACCACTTCTTCCCTACCTATTCAGGTAATTGTCAGAAATGAATTGCTCATCTGCCTGAGTTCTGTGTGCAGCCTAAAAGTGTTCTCTCCTCTCCCATAGGTATGGTCTGTCTGGCAGTGATGTCCTGGATAATGTAGCATATGCTCGAGCGTTCAACACAGACCATCAGACCCAGCTCCTTTATCAAGCATCAGCCATGATGGTAGAATCTAGGTGTGTGCTCAGTGTAAGACACCAAATATGTTCTTCGAGTCCTTCCCTGAGTCTTGTAATGGATATTTGGCCAGATTGATAGTAGCTTGAATTAGAAATGAGGAGGTTTAAGTTTAATTCCTGTTTTGACACTCTTGCTTTATAGTTTAGGTCAAGTACCTATTAAAAATGAAATCATAGTCTACTTGAATTTGCTGGAAATCTTGTTAAACGGTGCGTCAGATGTTAGTGCTGTGCAAATATTTTAATAAAACATCTACATACAAGGAAAACTATGAATATGAGATTTTAGGGTGGTAAAGAAGGGAGTAGAATCTGACACAGGCTAGAAATAGGCTTCAGAGAATCCTTGTTTCCTGTAGGTATGCACTGCTTATTGTAGACAGTGCCACCGCCCTTTACAGAACAGACTACTCGGGTCGAGGTGAGCTTTCAGCCAGGCAGATGCACTTGGCCAGGTTTCTGCGGATGCTTCTGCGACTTGCTGATGAGGTAAGTTGTGGGATAGGGACAGAGAATGCCTACTTTCAGTGGCTGTGAATTCCAGGAACCTTGCTAGGAAGCCAAGACATCAGTGCCTGAGATCATCAAGCTCTATTAGAAAAGGAAGGAGAGAGACATTAGTCATTCATTGCTTTGTGGGGCAAAGTGGTGGCAGTATTGAGGTTCTTGGAGTGTCTACGGCCACAAAATTGACATTTATCCTTTCCCCATCAGTTTGGTGTAGCAGTGGTAATCACTAATCAGGTGGTAGCCCAAGTGGATGGAGCAGCCATGTTTGCTGCTGATCCCAAAAAACCTATTGGAGGAAATATCATCGCCCATGCATCAACAACCAGGTAAGGTCAGTTGATGGGATCGATTCTTTTCAGAATGTCATGTTAACTGTGAAGTAGACATGAATATATAGTATTTTCATTTAAGCCCTGTTAAAGCTACTGTTGTATAGACACTTAGGAACTCTTGCTAATCTAATTAACATGCTCTGGTTGGTATAGATGTTTTAATTCATAAAAGAATTAAAAACCCACAAGTGTGGAAGAATGAATATGAATAATAGAGATGCCTCTCCCTCGTTATTTAAAAAATGTTTGGGCTGGGCACTGTGGCTCACACGGATAATACCAACACTTTGGGAGGCCAAGGTGAGAGGATGACTGGAGGCCAGGAATTCGAGACGAGTCAGGGTAACAAAGTGAGGCCCCTGTCTCTACAAAAGAGGTAGCCGGTGTGGTGGCATGTGCCTGTATTAGCTACCGAGGAGACTGAGGCAGGAGGATCAGTTGAGCGTAGGAATTCGAGGCTGTGTTGAGCTATGATCACACACCACTGCACTCCAGCCTGGCAAAAGATCAAGCCAGTGTCTTGAAAGAAACTTTTTCTTTTTTTAATGTTTGTTTCAGTATGGACAATCCACTGAGAGGGGCCAGGGCAAAAATGGATTCTGCCAGGTTGGAAATGCACTAAGGAAAACAGTACAGAAATATTCCCAGGGTCCTTCTAGGAAGAATACATGTCTAAAAAATTTTCAGCTCTGTTTTAAAGTCAGGATGGAATTGTTTAATTATAACAAATTGGTGCTTTGGTCTGTGTCTTTGGGTCAGATTGTATCTGAGGAAAGGAAGAGGGGAAACCAGAATCTGCAAAATCTACGACTCCCCCTGTCTTCCTGAAGCTGAAGCTATGTTTGCCATCAATGCAGATGGAGTGGGAGATGCCAAAGACTGAATCATTGGGTTTTTCTCTGTTAAAAACCTTAAGTGCTGCAGCCTAATGAGAGTGTACTGCTCCCTGGGGTTCTCCACAGGCCTCTTCCTGTTGTGACTACCAGGAAAAGGCTTCCGGGAAAACAGCTATTGTATCAGTTTTTCTGATGGTGTAAACAGGACACAGGTCAGTAATCACAAACTAATCTAAAATGTTTATTCCTTCTGTAGTGTATTAATCTCTGTGTGTTTTCTTTGGTTTTGGAGGAGGGGTATGAAGTATCTTTGACATGGTGCCTTGGGAATGACTTGGGTTTAACAAGCTGTGTACTGGACAATCTTAGTTTCCAAGAGAACTAAAGCTGGAGAGACGTGACCCTTCTCTCACTTCTGAATTAATGGTAAAATAAAATGCCTGAGCTATGTAGCAAAGGGAATGGGTCTCTGCACAGATTCTTTTTTTCTGTCAGTAAAACTCTCAAGCAGGTTTTTAAGTTGTCTATCTGAATGATCTTGTGTAAGGTTTTGGTTATGGAGTCTTGTGCCAAGCCTACTGGGCCATTAGCCCTTCACCGTCTGCCTGTTTGGTCTTTTATTGCTAAGACTAACTCAAGATAATTCTAGAGTCTTAAGCATTTCAGGCCAGGTGTGGTGTCTTGTGCCTGTAATCCCAACATTTTGGGAGGCCGAGGTGGTGGATCGCTTGAGCCCAGGAGTTTTAAGTCCAGCCTGGCCAACATGGCGAAACCCCATCACTACAAAAATGCCAAACTTAGCTGGACATGCTGTGGCCCGTGCCTATAGTCCCAGCTACTCGATAGCCTGAGGTGGGAGGATCACTTAAGCCTGGAAGGTGGAGGTTGCAGTGAGTTGAGATTGTACCACTGTACTCCAGCCTGGGCGACAGAATGAGACCATGTTTCAAACAAAAAAGAAAGCAATCATTTCAGAGGCTAAGTAAACAGATTTGATTGTGAGGCTTCTAATAAAGTAGTTATTAGTAGTGAATGTGCTGTTTATAGCAGTTATTCTAGTGCAAGCTATTTCAAGACAGGGTTTCCGTAATCTTTTTGGCTCTGTATAGGGGTGATCAGTTTCTATTACTTTAAGATTTGAAACCAGAAAGGAAAGTCCCACTTGCAGATGATTGTGCTTGTCTTTCAACCTAATAGAAAATAAAAGACAGACATACCATGGCTTGCCTTGTGGCTTTTTTTTTTTGAGACGGAGTTTCATTCTTGTTGCCTAGGCTGGAGTGCAGTGGCGCGATCTTGGCTCACCACAACCTCCGCCTCCTGGGTTCTAGCAATTCTCCAGCCTCAGCCTCCCGAGTAGCTGGGACAATAGATGCCTGCCACCACGCCCTGCTGATTTTTGTATTAGTAGTAGAGATGGGGTTTCACCATGTTGGCCAAACTGGTCTCGAACCCCTGATCTCAGTGATCTGCCCACCTTGACCTCCCAAAGTGTTGGGATTACAGGCACGAACCACCTTGCATAGCCCTGTGATGCTTTGTTTTAAAAGCAGTTCTAGTCTTTTTTTTTTTTTTTTTTTTGAGACAGGGTCTGGCTCTGTCGCCCAGGCTGGAGTGCTGTGGTGCAATCTGGACTCACTGCAAACTCTGCCTCCCAGGTTCACACCATTCTCCTGCCTCAGCTTCCCAAGTAGCTGGGACTATAGGCGTCCGCCATCACGCCCGGCTATTTTTAGTAGAGACAGGGTTTCACCGTGTTAGCCAGGATAGTCTCGATCTCCTGACTTTGTGATCCGCCCGCCTCGGCCCTCCAAAGTGCTGCGGTTACAGGCGTGAGCCACCGCGCCTGGCGTTTTTTTTTTTTTTTTTTTTTTTGACACAGAGTCTTGCTCTGTTGCCCAGGCTGGAGTGCAGTGGCATAACTCACTGCAACCTCCGCCTACCAGGTTCAAGCGATTCTCCTGCCTCAGCCTCCCGAGTAGCTGGGATTACAGGCATGTGCCACCATGCCTGACAAATTTTTGTATTTTTAGTAGAGATGCTTTTCACTATTTTGACAAGGCTGATCTTGAACTCCTGACCTCAGGTAATCTGGCCACCTTGGCCTCCCAAAGTTCTGGGATCACAGATGTGAGCCACCACACCTGGCCTGTCTTTAAAGATTAAGAATCAGGGACTGGGCCAGGTGTGGTGGCTCACATCTGTAATCCCAACGCTTAGGGAGGCCAAAGTGGGTAGATCACTTGAGCCAGGAGTTTGAGGTCAGCCTGGGCAACATGGTGAAACCCTGTCTGTACAAAAAATATAGAAGTTAAAAAATTATTCATGCATGTTGGGATACACTTGTAGTCCCCAGCTACTCCAGTGGCTTAGGTGGGAGGACCCCTTGAGCCCAGGAGGTAGCGGCTGCAGTGAGCCCTGTTCACACCACTGCACTGCAGCATGGGTGACAAAGCAAGGCCGTCTCAAAAAAAAATCAAAGATTGAAAAGTAGCATTGTCAATGTCCCTGGAAGCCAGATGCCAAATGGAGTTTATGGGACTTTTTTCCCTTTACTTCATTTCAGTAGTTAGCACTTCCAATCCATATCTTACCCAAAGTGCTCAGTGACCATCCAAAATGTTTTCCTGTTTTTAAAATAAATTTATTGTACAGTTAAGGTGTACAACATGATGTTATGATACTAATACATATAAGGAGGCCAGGCACAGTGGCTCACACCTGTAATGCCAGCACTTTGGGAGGCCGAGGCGGGCGGATCACCTGAGGTCAGGAGTTCGAGAACAGCCTGGCCAACATGGCAAAACCCCATTTCTACTAAAAATAAAAAACTGGCCGGGCGTGGTGGCTCACACCTGTAATGCCAGCACTTTGGGAGGCTGAGGTGGGCAGATCACCTGAGGTCGGGAATTTGAGACCAGCCTGACCAACATGGAGAAACCCCATCTCTACTAAAATTACAAAATTAGCCGGGTGTGGTTACACATGCCTATAATCCCAGCTACTTGGGAGGTTGAGGCAGGAGAATTGCTTGAACCCGGGAGGCGGAGGTTGCAGTGAGTCAAGATCGTGCCATTGCAGTCCAGCCTGGGCAACAAGAGCGAAAAAAACTCCATCTCAAAAAATATATATACAAAACTTACCTGTGCATGGTGGCACACACCTGTAATCCCAGCTACGCGGGAGGCTAAGGCAGGAGAATTGCTTGAACCCGGGAGACACAGGGTGCAGTGAGCCCAGATCACACCACTGCACTTCAGCCTGGGTACAGAGCGAGACTCCATCTCAAAAACAAAACAAAACAAAAACGTAAGTGTCCAATGACACTGATATCCCTGCCAGGAAGAATAAGGTTTTCAGCCTGATCTGGCTCAGGTACCTTTTCCTCTGAATGCTCATGTTATTGGTGGCTGGGCCAAGCCGCTTGTTCTCCATACAGAATAGTCAGCGTTCCTAATTTAAAAAAAAACCTTTAAAACCTCTTATTCACACCTTAATCTTTTGGTGACAGGTCTCACCTGAGCTGGCTAGGAAAAAAAAAAAAAAAAAAGCTGCTCCAGCCTTCCTTGAAAGCCCTCTCAGTGCCACTGTGCAGGATGTGCCATCCAGAGCTTCCTAAAGGTATTGAGGGGGTGAGGGGGAGAAGAGGGATGCGGGTGACAGAAATACCAGGGTAACCTTGTTTTTCCCCCGAGGACATTATCGAGACCCTTAGTGGGAGGGTTTCTGATAAGGGGCAATTTTGTGTTTGCCTGTTCTTTGGGAAAATCACCTGGAGACACATGGATTCCCAGACCCACCTAATCTAGGTTTTAGACCAAAAAGGAATGTTTTATTATTAGAATTGAGTGTATCTCAGGTCCTCTTTCATTACTACACCACAAAATAAATCTGAGGGCCAGGCACAGTGGCTAACACCTGTAATCTCAGCACTTTGGGAGGTTGAGGTGGACGGATTGCCTGAGGTCAGGAGTTCAAACCCTGTCTCTACTAAAAATGCAAAAAAGTTTAGCTGGGTGTGGTGGTGTGCGCCTGTAATCCCAGCTACTCAGGAGGCTGATGCAGTGGAATCGCTTGAACCCGGGAGGTGGAGGTTGCAGTGAGCCGAGATCACGCCACTGTACTCCAGCCTGGGCAACAGAGCGAGACTCCATCTCAAAAAAAAAAAATCTGGGTTAGTGTAATAAAGACACAGTGACATTCTGGATTAAGAGGTTGGTTCATCTCAATTTTTTTTTTTTTTTTTTTGAGACAGAGTTTCGCTCTTGTTGCCCAGGCTGGAGTGCAATGGCATGATCTCAGCTCGCTACAACCTGTGCCTCCCAGGCTCAGGTGATTCTCTTGCCATAGCCTCCCTACTAGCCAAGATTACAGGCATGTGCCACCATACCAAGCTAATTTTTTTTTCCCTGTATTTTTAGTAGAGATGGGGGTTTCATCATGTTGGCCAGGCTGGTCTCAAACTCCTGGCCTCATGTGCTCCACCCACCTCGGCCTCCCAGAGTGCTAGGATTGCAAGCATGAGCTACCACGCCCGGCCTAAGCATCTAAATTTTCTTCTAGGTGGATTTAGGGGTTTGTGCTCGTGGCCCTAAGAATGAACATGAGAGGGGTAGGGAGTACCTGCTTAGTGGCAATAGGCCTTGTTTAGGCTAAAAATAAGCTTGATACCTGTATTTTATATACTGTAAAGAGCATTAATCATAACCTGCCTGCAATAGCCTCTGTAGGTGGAAACAATCATGGAGGTGTCAAGTAAGAATAAAGAGCTGATAACATCAAATTTGGTTTATTTCAAGTCTGTAACAAAATATATTCTAGGCAACTTTTCAGACATTGTTTGTTTTATAGCATCATAAACCCTATACCACTGCTGTCATTCCAAAAGCTAACAGGACTCTGGAAGTCATCAAGTGGTCCAGCCCAGGAATGCAGGTAGAATTCACATGATAGGTGATAAGAAAGCAATGCCTATGGGCTACTCTGATCCCTTTTACCTTGGTAGGTAAGGTATGATCTTAGGACTATATGTATTGAGGCCTATTCGTCAGTGAAAAAGATTAAAGTGACAAGTTCTGTGCTTTGTTCCTATAGCTTTGAAGTTCATCCACGTCACCAGCAGGCTCCACCATGTGTAATCCTGGGGCAGGTGTGAATCTTGATTTTTTTCAAGAGATTACTCAAGGGAGAGAATAACAGAAACCCAAGCCACAAGTACTGCCCCAATTCTAGATTAGGTTAGAGGTTAGAATAAATTAACTAATGGGGAATGGTACTGGGTAGCAGTCAGACCCAGGAGTCAGATTTGTGTGGTTTCCTGATCTCAGCAAGGTCTAAGGAAAAAAGCCTCCCCCCCCCCCCCCCCGCTTAAATAGTAGCATCGTCATGAAGGCCAGTGACATGTGGTTAGTCTCCTAAAGTGACTTCCAATTCTTCCAGGTCCTTCTGGAGAGCCAAATCCTAGGGAGACAAAGAACAAATCTAGGGCTCAATATTTAAACCAGCATTTTCCCAAACCAGTGGAACCTGAGAAGAGGGGCCCTTTGCTTCCTTTCTGAGCTCTGCTACAGTCTTTTTCCTACTTTCCCAGGATAGCCTGGAGCCTATTAAATCTGTCTCTTCCCCCTAGAGGTAGACGCTTTTTCCTAGGGAAATAAGACCTCTAGGAAAGACTTTTTTCTTAAAAATGTCACATGATTCAGTGATGACAGGCAGTTTTGTTTTTTTGAGATGGACTTTCGCTCTTGTTGCCCAGGCTGGAGTGCAGTGGCATGATCTCAGCTCACTGCAACCTCCACCTCCTGGATTCAAGCGATTCTCCTGCCTCAGCCTCCTGAGTAGCTGGGATTACACGCATGCACCACCATGCCCAACTAATTTTGTAATTTTAGTAGAGACGGGGTTTCTCTATGGCTGACCTTGAACTCCCGACCTCAGGTGATCTGCCCGACTTAAAAAGCATTACCTCCTTCGTGACATCTGGCAGCTCCAGGGCTAACTTCATCCACCACCTAGCTTCAGAGTTTTTCCCTA